ATAGAACTGTACAGAAGATGAAAGCCATCTTTTTAAAGTGTAAAACATGTGATGGCCTGAGAGCACGATGTTCATCACTAAAACATTATATATCCTATAATGTCGGCAGCTAACAACGAATACACCGTCAAAAGCATATCTATGTACATATATAAAGCAATTTGTGATAGTTCTAAAGAAAACGACCCCCTCTGTTGCATTTGTATCATCGGCCTAAAGCTTACAATATTGAAGCTGATTGACTCGATTCCACAAGATCGCGAAATATCACGGCAATTTATGAATTATCTCCCTTGACCGGTAGAGGGCGAAGGGATCGGTCTCTTTCTCAAATCCGCCATCATGGGTCGTATGCACAATCCAGGGTATGGGGACATTTTTTCATATATCTTTCGATTATGACAATATTTTACATCAACACACATATATAGAAGAAGTATATTGTTCATGCTTTCAACTTGGGTCAAACTGGTAACACATACTATCGTGGGAAACTTGAAATAAAGATGTAATTTCAGGTTTCATCAAACCACGTGTTCGCCTGGGATCGAGCTCCACGTGCGTGGTCGCACTTTATTCGTCACTGTTCGGAAACTCAAGTCAATTTCAGGATTAAAATTGTAACAACGTCTTGTATTGACGAAATCAGGTTTGGAAATTGCGATAAATATTGAGATAGGATAAGGTTAGCGTTTTGACCTAGGTTGATTATTCATTACGTGTGGTTTCAAATTGATCCCCAATAGACCACTACCCGCGATTGTTTATGACTGTTAAGATGTGAATAAATATCTTCTAAAGTCAGTGGGTTCTGATGTCAGACTGGCAATTTATTTTATATCGACCCCTGCATGATTCACTTCCTAAAACATTTGCCTTCAAATAAGAGTACCTATATTTTTTATATATTTATAATATATTTGCAATAATTAGCTTAGAAACTGTAAGGGTCAAGAATTGTAATCCATCATTGAGATTAGCGATGGCAGCCATAAATCTGTAGCCTCTTGAGTCCAACTGAAATTCGATGAAAACTACATTATTGGTAACAGGTGACTAACGGGCTCAGATTAATGCATGTCATCATGTCCCAATTGCGTAGATCGATGCACATGATGTTAATCAATGGATTGTCTGGTCCAGACCTGGATATTTATCCTGACTAATGACCTACAGCTGGAATATTGAGAGTGCGGTGTTAAACAACAAACAAATAGTCTTGAAACAGAACATATGCATGATTGAAATTTAGATACACATGTGGAGTCTCTTAGGATTCATGTACATAATGTCAGTACCCGTGAAGATCCGGGGTAGAATAGGTCTTCAGCCGTAAAAGCAGCGATAGAAACAGTTTTCGTCCACTGGTTCTTATGATAACATATAACAAAACCTTTAAAAAATGGCAAATTTCTACTAGTACTTATCATACCTTTACTATTGTGCAGTTTGGCAAGGACTATAGGACCAGAGCAAGTTTCTAAAACTGAAAAGGCAACTATATGCTTGTCGTAAGAGGCGACTGGGGGCACGGGTGGCCCAGTCGTCTACGGCGCTGCTATTCGCTGTGCAGAATTACGTCCCTTGGTCACGCCAGAAACCTATGATTGTGGGTTCGAATCCCGGTTCGCCCTGATTATGTTTCTAGGTTTGTCAGCACCATACCTGTGCTCGTGGGTTTCACCGAACTGGTAAACGTCTGTGACCTGCATCACTTCGGGCTTTCCTCCCACATTAAGCTGACATGTTGCGATATAACTGGAATAATGTTAAAAGCAGCGTTAAACCAGAGTTAGAAACTAACAGTTTTCACCCACTAGTCCTTATAATGATACCCTATAGAAAAACGGCAAATTTCTACTAGTCCTTATGATACCTTAACTATTGGTCAGTTTGCCAAGGACTACAGGACTAGTGCCAATTTCTAACGCTGGTTAAACCCAACTCACTCACACTGAGAGGCGACTAATGGGGCAGGGTGGTCAAGTTTGCTGACTTGGCTGATGTGTGTACCAACTGCATAGATCAATGCTCATGATGACAATCACCAGACTCAATTATTTACAGACCACCATCATATAGCTGGAATATTTCTGACTGCAACATCCCGTAGCTCTGTGTATCACAAGTCAAAATGTATGAAGTCAAAATCGTTTGTAGGGAGGAGCACAGGGATAAGGTTACCACAGCTAAACTAAGCCTAGGTCACTGCAGACTGAGGAGATAAACACGATACTCATTGATTATTGATACCGGGTGTTAGGACTTGGCCAAAGCAGCACTAACCTCCAATTCAAATAATTTAAAGCAATTATTTAAATTCCTAAACCGCACCAAATAAGGAACAGTGGTGGGAAATGCAAGATTTACCATTAAAGGCAAAGTGATTCAAGTATGACTGATTGTATTTTTCATTGTTTTGTAAGCCAGCAAATATTTTCAGATTTTGGCAATGCCTTGATAACTAGGGGTGACTTTGGCACTATCTCCACTATTGCGATTGTATTGCAATGGTGTTAAACCAATTTTAAGTCTTGATAAATCATAATTATATTAATCAATGTTTTAGAAATGAATAAAGTATTGCTGACAATGTCAAAGTCGGCTATTTTCCTCCCGGTTGCTACTCAAACCAAAGGGAAGTAACTCTAGTATGAAGTTGTCCTAATCCTTTCAAGCCAACGTACGACAGGTATGCAGGTTAAATGTAAAAAACCAAGTTTTCCGCTGAATGGTTAGTTTCCATGGTCTCCATTAGTTATGAATAAAACAAATGGTTGTTATGCATAGTATGGACAATACTATTGTTGGTTTTATATTCTATCGATATAGTACAATCATAGGGCAAACAGTTTCAATAGATCGACAGTTTGATATATACATTGTTACATTCCTACTTGATACAAGGCCTGTATTGACCAGGTCAGGATGCAACACTAGCCAGGCTGGGAATACTTGTATAATTACCAGTTGTCATAGCGGCTAGGAACTTAGTCCTGTAACACAAGTTAGCTACAAAATATTGCAAATCGTTTTGTTTTCAGCTAAATGAGTTTACTGTTGACTGTTTACTATTCACATCAGAGGATCCAGATAAACCTGTCAAATCATTACCTCGCTTGTGAACCTGGCCTCCGGTTACTGCCTTCCAAGTTCAAGACAAGATGTATTTTAGGAGGAGAGATAGCAGGAGATAAATGTAGAACAAGTGCCGGTATTACACTCCTTAAGTTTATGGCTGATAACAGACGAAATGAGTTTTTTAGAATTTGTAATTTGAAAATACGACATTGGGACAACAATGACTGAGTTGATCATATGTTTACACAGGGACATGTTGCAATTTCACATGGAGATCAGTCCGTCTGTATGAACTTCAATTACCAAAGAAAGCTCACTCGACCAAAAGATGTTTTGCTTGACCTGGGTTTCGGACTTGAGGCTTTAAGTAACAGACCCAGAGATGTTGACACTATCCACACATGTTTGTCCACAGCATGATCTTTCATATGTTTGGGTTTTTTTCTCTTTTTCAGAAAAGGTATTTCCCAGTCTGCCCTACCATACAGGCGATCTGTGCCAACTGTAAGTGTTCCGAACTTTTCTTGGCCTTCTGAAATCCTTTCCCTGGACTTAAACAAATTCTCAATCATAACACTATAGTCCCTCAATGCCCTTGAGTAGAAATATAGCCTTGACTCGGAAAGTAAATTAGCCTGTAATTGTGATTCGGAAATTAGCTCCTTTGTACGCATGCTGAAAAAGCTTCATTTGGTATTTACACATGCTGTTTTTATACATTTAAGTTCTTCATTTTATTCATGTGTTTCTGTACACATGTAGCACATGTGGTGTCTCCTTAGGCAAGTGACTTTGTTCGAAATGTAACTCTGCTCACCCAGCAGTGAGTGGGTACCCGGTAGCATGAGGTGGTAATGTGGCTGTTACCCTTCTAGTGCCTTACAGGCAGCTTTGGGTTGTATACTCTCCAGGGAGCTGAGAATGAAAATTGAGTACTCACTGATCCGTTGACCGGAGTAATAATGTAGCGCTTTGAGCAGGAACTGCTACATGAAGGCTAGCGCATTATAAGTGCACAATATTATTATTACACAAGTTAATTTAAAGTAATTGGGTTTTTAATATTTTGGGGGGCGGTCGGGCAGCCTAGTGGTTAAAGCGTTCGCTTGTCACGCCGAAGACCCGGGTTCGATTCCCGACATGGGTACAATGTGTGAAGCCCATTTCTGGTGTCCCCCGCCATGATATTGCTGAAATATTGCTAAAAGCGGCGTAAAACCATACTCACTTTTAATATTTTTGGGGTATTTTGTTCAAATACGCTGCTTATCTGTAGCTGATTGGAGTGAGGTGTGGGCTTAGTTCCCAGATTTACCCTGGTGATGATTGTCTGCTGTGAGTTGCAACAAGATGGCCAAAGTCTGCCCCTGCCACTTGGGTTGCATACGAGAACACACCATGGTGCAGCTGAATTACTGGTCCAAGAAACTCAACGATTTCACAGCTGGCACTGACATTCGCTGTGCAGAGTTGCATCCCTTGGGCATGCCAGAAACCTATGATCGTGGGTTCAAAATAAGTTTGCCCCAATAATGTTCCTAAAGTAACCAGCACTATACACATGCTTGTGGGTTTCACAAATGTACAAGTTTGAGACCTGCATCACTTCCAGCCTTCCTCCCACATGCTGTAATACAGTTCAAAGCAGCATTAAACCCAACTTGCTCACTCACTCACCAATATCTTAGATTTGAAATGGTTAAAAAGAAAACATCTTTTGCCTTACTCATTACTTTACATGTTGTGCACACTTGATTGAGAACTTATTGTCTATCGATACTTTTGCCACTAATTGCTGCACATCCAATTTGTGTATTTCAGTGGCTCAAACTGACATCTGAGGATGTTCAGGAACAGATATACAAGTTGGCCAAGAAGGGTCTGACCCCGTCACAGATTGGTAAGTCTCTCATATGTATTGTAGGTGTTATCCCCCACCACTAAGTTACCCATGTCTGTAGGTGTTATCCCCACCACTAAGTTACCCATGTCTGTAGGTGTTATCCCCCACCACTAAGTTACCCATGTCTGTAGGTGTTATACCCCACCACTAAGTTATCCATGTCTGTAGGTGTTGTCCCCACCACTAAGTTACCCATGTCTGTAGGTGTTATACCCCACCACTAAGTTACCCATGTCTGTAGGTGTTATACCCCACCACTAAGTTACCCATGTCTGTAGGTGTTATCCCCACCACTAAGTTACCCATGTCTGTAGGTGTTATCCCCACCACTAAGTTACCCATGTCTGTAGGTGTTATCCCCCACCACTAAGTTATCCATGTCTGTAGGTGTTATACCCACCACTAAGTTACCCATGTCTGTAGGTGTTATACCCCACCACTAAGTTATCCATGTCTGTAGGTGTTATACCCCACCACTAAGTTACCCATGTCTGTAGGTGTTATACCCCACCACTAAGTTATCCATGTCTGTAGGTGTTATCCCCACCACTAAGTTACCCATGTCTGTAGGTGTTATACCCCACCACTAAGTTATCCATGTCTGTAGGTGTTATACCCCACCACTAAGTTACCCATGTCTGTAGGTGTTATACCCCACCACTAAGTTACCCATGTCTGTAGGTGTTATCCCCACCACTAAGTTACCCATGTCTGTAGGTGTTATCCCCACCACTAAGTTACCCATGTCTGTAGGTGTTATCCCCCACCACTAAGTTATCCATGTCTGTAGGTGTTATACCCACCACTAAGTTACCCATGTCTGTAGGTGTTATACCCCACCACTAAGTTATCCATGTCTGTAGGTGTTAAACCCCACCACTAAGTTACCCATGTCTGTAGGTGTTATACCCCACCACTAAGTTATCCATGTCTGTAGGTGTTATCCCCACCACTAAGTTACCCATGTCTGTAGGTGTTATACCCCACCACTAAGTTATCCATGTCTGTAGGTGTTATACCCCACCACTAAGTTACCCATGTCTGTAGGTGTTATCCCCACCACTAAGTTACCCATGTCTGTAGGTGTTATACCCCACCACTAAGTTATCCATGTCTGTAGGTGTTATCCCCCACCACTAAGTTACCCATGTCTGTAGGTGTTATCCCCCACCACTAAGTAACCCATGTCTGTAGGTGTTATACCCCACCACTAAGTTATCCATGTCTGTAGGTGTTATACCCCACCACTAAGTTATCCATGTCTGTAGGTGTTATACCCCACCACTAAGTTACCCATATCTGTAGGTATTATCCCCACAGCTAAGGTACCCAGGTCTAGGTGTTATCCCCACCACTAAGTTACCCATGTCTGTAGGTGTTATACCCCACCACTAAGTTATCCATGTCTGTAGGTGTTATACCCCACCACTAAGTTACCCATGTCTGTAGGTGTTATCCCCACCACTAAGTTACCCATGTCTGTAGGTGTTATACCCCACCACTAAGTTATCCATGTCTGTAGGTGTTATCCCCCACCACTAAGTTACCCATGTCTGTAGGTGTTATCCCCCACCACTAAGTAACCCATGTCTGTAGGTGTTATACCCCACCACTAAGTTATCCATGTCTGTAGGTGTTATACCCCACCACTAAGTTATCCATGTCTGTAGGTGTTATACCCCACCACTAAGTTACCCATATCTGTAGGTATTATCCCCACAGCTAAGGTACCCAGGTCTAGGTGTTATCCCCATCACTAAGGTACCCATGTTTGTTGTAGGTGTTATCCTCCGTGACTCCCATGGTGTAGCTCAGGTGCGCTTTGTGACCGGCAACAAGATCCTGCGTATCCTGAAGGCCAAGGGTCTTGCCCCCGACATCCCTGAAGACTTGTACCATCTGATCAAGAAGGCTGTAAACATCCGCAAACATCTTGAGAGGAATAGGAAGGTGGGTCTCCTGGCAACAAACAGGCTGATATATACCGTATTCCAGACAGCTACATACGGGTATATCGGTAGAAGTGTCTCCTTGCAACTACCAGGCTGATATATACCGTATTCCAGACAGCTACATACGGGTATATCGGTAGAAGTGTCTCCTGGCAACAAACAGGCTGATATACCGTATTCCAGACAGCTACATATGGATATATAGGTAGAAGAGTCTCCTGGCATCCACCAGGCTGATATATACCGTATTCCAGACAGCTACATACGGGTATATCGGTAGAATTGTCTCCTGGCATCCACCAGGCTGATATACTATATTCCAGAAGCGGCTACATACGGATATATCGGTAGAAGTGTCTCCTGGCATCCACCAGGCTGATATATACCGTATTCCATATTTGGCTACATATGGATATATCACTAGAAGTGTCTCCTGGCATCCACCAGGCTGATATATACCGTATTCCAGACAGCTACATACGGGTATATCGGTAGAATTGTCTCCTGGCATCCACCAGGCTGATATATACCATATTCCAGACAGCTAAATACGGGTATATCGGTAGAAGTGTCTCCTGGCATCCACCAGGCTGATATATACCGTATTCCAGACAGCTACATACGGGTATATCGGTAGAAGTGTCTCCTGGCATCCACCAGGCTGATATATACCGTATTCCAGACAGCTAAATACGGGTATATCGGTAGAATTGTCTCCTGGCATCCACCAGGCTGATATATACCGTATTCCAGACAGCTAAATACGGATATATCGGTTGAAGTGGGGTAAGGGGTATGCAAGAACTTGTACAGTAAGTATTTACTTTAAATGTCACAGATTATCTGCCTCAAGATGTTTTTTAAATTTTAATTGAAATCGTTGTCATTACATGGTTACCATGTTTTTTTAAAGTCTATTATAATTGGCATGTTTTAGTAATCCAATAATCTCTGACAAGACTGTTCAGAAAAAGACATTTTTCAGATTCTTGTTTGGATGTTTGTAAAATAGTTATGATCAATTGAAATTGAGTAATCTGACATGTCCAGGAAATTATGGGATGTAATAAAAATCCTACACTGATTTACAGTAGGCTTGAATACTACACACTTGTTCTGGCCATATTGGAAGCCATATTGGAAGCCATATTGGAAGCTGATACTTGGCCTCGGGTCTATGAGAAATGCTTGGAAATATTTATCATTTAGAAAAACACTTTGGGTGGCCAGAATTAGAACTTGTGTTTTCGCTTTGCAAACGTGATTGCAATTATAACATTGTCACTGAAAACAAAACTAAGAAAGCAGAAAAGACTTTGAGACTTAGTTTTACATTACTGTCATGAATGCAATATAAAAATACCATTTAGTAAGATCCTGACTTCAAACTTCATTCTCAATTAAATATGAACATCGAAAGGTTATTGTTAAAAGGACCACAAGATGCCTGACTCACTTTATCCTCACCCCATCAGCTACCCTGGGGCCTGAATCACATGGTTCTCGCCCCATCAGCTACCCAGGGGCCTGAATCACATGGTCTTCACCCCATCAGCTACCCTGGGGCCTGAATCACATTGTCCTCACCCCATCAGCTACCCTGGGGCCTGAATCACATTGTCCTCGCCCCATCAGCTACCCTGGGGCCTGAATCACATTGTCCTCACCCCATCAGCTACCCTGGGGCCTGAATCACATGGTTCTCGCCCCATCAGCTACCCTGGGGCCTGAATCACATGGTCCTCACCCCATCAGCTACCCTGGGGCCTGAATCACATGGTCCTCGCCCCATCAGCTACCCTGGGGCCTGAATCACATGGTCCTCACCCCATCAGCTACCCTGGGGCCTGAATCACATGGTTCTCGCCCCATCAGCTACCCTGGGGCATGAATCACATGGTCCTCACCCCATCAGCTACCCTGGGGCCTGACTCACATTGTCCTCACCCCATCAGCTACCCTGGAGGAGTCCTGCATTATCTGACTTTACTTTCAGGACCGTGATGCCAAGTTCCGTCTGATTTTGATTGAGAGCCGTATCCACCGACTTGCACGGTACTACAAGTCGAAGAAGGTCCTGCCTCCCAACTGGAAATAGTAAGTAGCTGTACACATAGCAATGAGTAGGAATGAAACAATCCTCATGATAAGATACTATCCCAATACTTAGTTTGTCAGTTTTTGCGTGAAATCCTTATTGTCCCGCACAGTCTTACTGACAGTCATGACTATTCACCAGCTACAGCTACAAAACCCAGTTTTGCAACAATTTATTTATTTCTTCTCTTTCTCCTCTCCCCCTCCCCCTAATTAAATGGTCTGCTCCTTAGGCTCAACATGATTATGTTCTATCACTAACCGATCAGATTTAACAATGTTTTTTTCACTTGCAAAATATCCTGTAACTCGCGTTGCTATCTCAGCCCAAACATAAACCTATAGCGGCACTCGGGATACACATGGACTTGTGTTCATTGTGTGTACTGGTCACATAACCTTACAGTGACGAAATCCATCATTATTATCCCCCGCCACGAAGTGGAAGGGGGGTGTAGGAATGGGTTCCGTCCGTCCATCACATATCGTTTCCGGAGCAGATCTTGAAAACCGTACCATATTTATTCACCAAACTTGGCACATAGATAGATGTAGGGGTGAACTGGTGCCTTTTGATAGTTTGGGATTTTAAAAAAAAATTATTTTTCGAGTTTCCATGGCAACGACTTTGATTTAGACTGAAAATGGCGGTAGTCCTCGTTTCTGGAGCAGATCTTGAAAAAACGTACCATATTTCTTCACCAAACTTGGCACATAGATAGATCTAGGGGTGAACTGGTGCCTTTTGATAGTTTGGGATTTTAAAAAAAAATTATTTTTCGAGTTTCCACGGCAACGACTTTGATTTAGACTGAAAATGGCGGTAGTCCTCGTTTCTGGAGCAGATCTTGAAAAACGTAGTATATTTCTTTACAAAAAGGCCCAGTGAACATAGTTCACAGGAGCTAATGCATTGCACACACCCGACATGTCATATTGGCGGGGGATGTGAGTATTTCATGCTTGTTGTCAATGTGCATCATCGTCAACAGATGTATTAATGTCGGTTGTTTTCTTCCAGTGAATCCTCCACTGCCTCTGCCCTGGTTGCCTAAGGAGTGAAGATGGGAGATGTAAAGCTGAAGAAATAAATTCTTGAAGGGCTTATTGTGTTCTTTCCCTTTATTGAGCAAGCCATCCGCGACAAGCCAGTGATGAGTTGCTTTTAATAAGGGCGCGGCTCCACTAAACCAGCTTAGTGTGAAGATGATCATGTAGCCCTTACTTTAACACAGCCTTTGTCATTGCATTGAGATTGATTGTGGAACTGGGATCGGTCGAGCTTTGGTCTTGACCTGCTCTGTCTTGTGATTCCGGGTTGGAATGGGTTTCCAACCACCTGGATGTTAGAGGCAACTGAATGGATTGTGTGGTCAGGCTCAGTGACATGGTTGATTGTGCGTCGTCATACCCCAACAGCGCGTGTGAACCTGGTCCTGACCCGTGAAGATCTGGGGCACCAAGCAGGTTTTCAGCAATCCATGCTTGCCATAAAAGGCGACTACGCTTGTCGTATGAGGCAACTTACAGGATTGGCTGGTCAGGCTCGCTGTCTTGGTTGATGCATGTCATCGTATCCCTATTGCGTGGGTCGATGGTCATCAACCACTGGATTGTCTGGTACAGACTCGATTATTTACAGACCGCTGTCATATAGCTGATATATTGCTGAGTGTGGCGTTAAACAACAAACAAATTAAAACATGATGCCTGGTCTTGTCTGCATTACATACAAGCCGGATACAGCTGTGTCATACTGCTGGATATTGCCTTGTGGGGCATCAAAAACAGTTGTATTCATGCTGCTGTTATGGATTTGGCTCTTAGGTTTTCTAATCTGTTTTAAATATTAGTCCCTGAAAAATGACTTCCTTTACTACCACGGTGACAAACGAGACCAGAACTCAGCTGAGGGGGAAATGTTGATATTTGATACAGAATATGCAGAATGATGAATGACGACATTTATTTGAATTTCTTTCACAGGCAACAATGAAGTATCTCAATACATTAGTGCCACCTTTCCGAGTTGTTACTCAAATAGGGGCGGTCTGGTAGCCTGGTGGTTAAAGCGTTTGCTCGTCACGTCGAAGACCCGGGTTCGATTCACGACATGGGTACAATGTGCAAAGCCCATTTCTGGTTTCCCCAGCTGTGGTATTGCAGGAATATTTCTAAAAGTGACGTCATACCATACTCACTCACTGTTACACAAACACACTGCATAATATGATACGGTGATCAGTTTTCCATCCCACCATGACCCAATTATAATTCCTATAAATCATACCAATGGTTGATAGCCGCGCAATCCGTGATACATGCAGAGGCACAATGATGCCACTATGAACCGGGTCAGATTGGGGGCACCTGATCCAAAGCCACTGCTTCAACAAGGATGCTGCGAACAGATCGACCGAGGGCATTTTAACGCTACCTGACATTGTGCTGTTGCTGTTCATCCATCGTCTATCAGTTAGTGGGGCGGTAGGGTAGCCTAGTGGCCCAGCTTCAAATCAAACCCATACACGACTCGCTCACTCCCTGTTTGCGTGACGCCACACCCACTATCACTGCATGACATCTAATTCTCCATCACAGCATGACACAACACCCACTATCACTGCATGATGCCACACCTACTATCACTGCATGATGCCACATCTACAACGCTGCATGACACCATGCCCACAATAACTTCATGATGCCGCACCCACTATCTGTATATGACACCACACCGATCACTGCATGACACCACACCCACTATCACTATATGACATTACATTCGCTATCACTGCATGATGCCATATCCACTATCACTGCATGACGCCACACCGATCACTGCATGATACCACACCCACTATCACTGCATGACACCACACCGATCACTGCATGACACCACACCCACTGTCACTGATGACACCACACCCACTATCACTGCAGGACACCACATCCACTATCACTGCAGGACACCACACCCACTATCACTGCATGACACCACACCGATCACTGCATGACACCACACCCACTGTCACTGATGACATCACACCCACTATCACTGCAGGACACCACATCCACTATCACTGCAGGACACCACTATCACTGCATGACACCACACCCACTATCACTGATGACACAACACCCACTATCACTGCAGGACACCACCTCCACTATCACTGCAGGACACCACATCCACGATCACTGCAGGACACCACATCCACTATCACTGCATGATGCCACACCTACAACTCTGCATGACAACACACCCACAATAACCCTATGATGCCACACCCACTATCTGTATATGACACCCACCATCACTGCATGACACCACACCTATCACTGCATGATGCCACACCGGCTATCACTATATGACATTAAATTTGCTATCACTGCATGACACCACATCCAAGATCACTGCATGACGCCACATCCACTATCACTGCATGACACCACATCCACGATCACTGCATGACACCACATCCACTATCACTGCATGACACCACACCCACGATCACTGCATGACACCACACCAACGATCACTGCATGACACCACATCCACTATCACTGCATGACACCACACCAACGATCACTGCATGACACCACATCCACTATCACTGCATGACATCGCATCCACGGTCGCTGCATGACACCACACCCACTATCACTATATGACATTATATTTGCTATCACTGCATGACACCACACCCGATATCACTGCATGACACCACATCCACCAACACTGCCTGACACCACATCCACGATCACTGCATGACACCACACCCACTATCACTGCCTGACACCACACCCACTATCACTGCATGACACCACACCCACGATCACTGCATGGCGCCACATCCACTATCACTGCCTGACACCACATCCACGATCACTGCATGACATCGCATCCACGATCACTGCATGGCATCGCATCCACTATCACTGCATGAAACCACACCCACTATCACTATATGACATTACATCCACGATCACTGCATGACATCGCATCCACTATCACTGCATGACACCACATCCACGATCTCTGCATGACATCGCATCCACTATCACTGCATGACACCACATCCACTATCACTGCATGACATCGCACCCACTACCACTGCATGACACCACATCCACGATCACTGTATGACATCGCATCCACTATCACTGCATGACACCATATCCACTATCACTGCATGACACCACACCCACTATCACTATATGACATTACACCCGCCATCACTGCATGACACCACATCCACGATTACTGCATGACATCGCATCCACTATCACTGCATGACATACAGAAAGTATTCAGTGCACGTTTAGTATCAGGGTCTCAAACACAACCCGATGTCAGATTCCCGACATACATATGAGGTATCAACGTCTGTGTCAGTGTGACACGTGGCAGCAGTCCGGCACACCAGTCCTGCCTCCCGTCGTATAGAGACTGCACAACTCTCCACCGTGCACAGGTAAGCCAGTGTGTGTATTGTGTGAGGCACAACTCTCCACCGTGCACAGGTAGGCCAGTGTTTCATTCGGTCCATAACAGTACAATGCATGATCCCGCTTCACAAACCCGTGGCCATGTCTACCTTGTGATAGAGGATTGAGAGAGTGTCCATCTATTGTTGTTGAGGATGGAGAGAATGTCCATCTATTGTGGCAGTTGATTGTGGTAGCTGACCTTATATTTATTCTACTGCCATGATATCTGTCCCAATAAAAAAAATAGACATATTTTCGACGTGTTGCATCAAAACGTCGACAAACCCCCAAATATTTAATCACCGGTATGTTTAAAACAATATGAACAATTTCGTCTCCTCTACTACCATGTCGTTGCCTACTATCCGATTACCCTTCTGCAAAATGAATTTGAAGCAATGTCTTTCCACAGTGACCTATTCGCGTTGTGCCCTACTCAGCTTTCGTGACCAACTCGTGTTATTCCGGGACAAGCCGATCTTCTTGCAGGTTACGGAAAGGGGCGAGTGGTGACGAATGCCCTACTCAGGTGGAAACTAGGTCACGTCGCGTCCTGCCTGTGATAAACCGACACGGAGGTGCTGCAACCTTCTCAGTCTTGCGTTGAGACTTCAAATAGATGTCACGCATGTCAGGGTTTAAATAAAAATTAATAATGAACAACTAACAACATATCGAAACATTTAAGAACTAGAAGACCAAATATGACATGTTACGTACGATTGTTTAGAAAGATACAAATGCATGTGATATCTATTCCATTCCAAAAGATTGTCTCCCTTTCATTATTGCGGTAACCTTTCTAACAAATGTCCTTCATGTCAGGGTTTAAGTAACAATAAAACTGAACAACTAACAAAAAGTCAATAATATTCAGAATTGCTTTATCAAATGTGACGTTACAATTAAATAGAAATCGATTTACTTGCACCGCCGTCGCTTGGCTGAACGGCGCCAGACAATTTAGGTGGATAGTCTTTACAGGTTATTCTCTTGCATTGACAATTTATGTTTTCTATTCAATTACCCCTAAGGCCATATATCAGTTACCACGAGTCATATAGACTTTTACCTTGCGTGATGTTGCTGGAATATTGCTAAAAACGGCTTAAATCCACACTCACTCACTCACTCACTCACCCACCCACCCACCCACCCACTCACTCACTCACTCACTCACTCACTCACTCACATAGACGTTTCAGAAAAGTATTAGAAATGGAACTATTTTGTTGTTTGGATACAATGTATGGTCTGCCGAGAGATGGTTTAGGCAGACCAAGGTGACCAAAGTACAACACATTTGATAGGCAAACAAAAGGTAAGGTTGAATCTGTCAAACTGACTGTAGTAGAGGATACAGATCGGGTAAATAAACAGTTGGAAAGTCACAGGAAGAGACGCACGGATGTTGCAAGCAACAGGTTCCTGACGCACATGATACTCACAATAACATTACTGAAAGGGAACTGAGACTTGCTTGTAGGGAAAGTAATACGTTGCGAGGCAGTGACGGTCTCTTTGTGAGTGAGTGAGTGAGTATCGTTTCACGCCGCCTTTAGCAATATTCCAGCAATATCACTGCGGGGGACACCAGAAATGGGCTTCACACATTGTACCCATGTCGGGAATCGAACCCGGGTCTTCGGCGTGACGAGCGAACGCTTTAACCACCAGGCTACCCGACCGCCCCTCTCCTTGTGAGTGTTAGAATGTATTGGGGCATACGATTTAGGTATACTTTATATTAACGCCAAGGTTTTCAATTGATAACAAACTACTTTCTTAATCCCAAACAAGGGGCACAGTTGTTCTCTTGGGAAAATGGGGAAAGATCCTCATTTGTTGAACACCTATAGAATAATTACACTAAAACCTGTTCACTATTAAGTCTTTGCTGAGGCTTTTGCAAACAGATTAATGATAGTAATGGATTATCTTATTAAGGACTCACAGATTGGCTTTCTTAAAAGCTAGGTTATTCATAAAATCAGATTGTCGGCTGATATGAGATTATGAGGATAAAATATATATTTTGCTTTTCGAAAGCCTTGGACCCGGTAGAGGATCAGGTCATCCATTCTACACTTACTAAATTCGGCTTTCCATAACAATATGATTGAACTTTGTCTCATGGAGACTATCTATGTGTTGTCAATAACAAACAGACCAGAAAATATTATTCCAATTCTTGAGGAGTATCGTCACGATATGGCTGAAATACTGCCGATGTGACGTTAAATATTAACTCACTCACTCACCTGAGGAGTAAGACAAGGCTGCCCACTAAGCCCGTATATTTATGTGGTGCAATATGAATAGTTAATGTCGTAGTTTAGTGGAAATAACAAGCAGGTGAAGGGATATATTGGACTGGTGGTACAGCACCAAGACTCCGTGACTGCTACAATTACTTCTTATAAAGATCAGTGTTGTTCAGGTCTAAATCTTCATGTCAATAAATCTCTCACCATGAAAAGTAACGTTCGGTTCACATGGTCAATAGCGGTAATCTGATCATGGTTGGTGTAAATAACGTTGAGTCATAGTGGTGCGCTCACTCAAGATTTCGCCGAAATAAATGTAAACAAGATATAATCATATTTTGAATACAATAAATAACAAACACAAATATAGAGAGTATTGTGCATGGTTGATAATTGAAATTCACCGGAAACCAGATTTTTGGATAAAAGAAGCATTATATTTAGTATGTATTTCGTGTCACGTAAATATCGTCCGGTAGGCGAGGTTTCCGGATATTTGGGGTCGGATAAGCGAGTTTCCACTGCATTTAAACTGCTGGGTAATAAGATTTTATTGGAACACCTTCGCCCCTAAACATGTTATATCATTGAAGAAAGGCCAGCTTCAGTACCTCGTGATGCATGCATTCTTTGAGAACTGTTCGTTTATGCATATTGTAGATTGACAACGTGATCTGGAACCAACGTCTGTTTCCTTCCTGACAAAATGGCGGCAACTGTTAAGCTGTACTCGTCCTGGTTCTGCCCGTTTGCACAGAGAGCGTGGCTCGCTCTTCTGGAGAAAGGGGTGGAGTTCGAATACAATGAGATTGACCCTTATAACAAGACAAAGGAGTTTCTGGCCATCAACCCCCGGGGACTCGTCCCTGTCATCGTCAAGGACGGCAAGTGCGTGTACGAGTCGGCTGTGTGTATTGAGTATGTGGATGAGGCCTGGCCGGATGGACCGTCTCTTCTTCCTAAAGACCCGTATGAACGTGCGCGAGCAAGAATCTGGTCTGATTTCATCACAAAGAAGATTGTGCCTAAGTTCTATGTTGCCCTTCAGCGCCAAACTCGGCCAGAGCAGGAGGAAGCCATGGCGGCCATATTGACAGCCCTTAAAGAGTTGTCGGGGGCGATATCAGCGGAAGGTCCTTTCTTCGGCGGCCCAAGTTTCGGGCTTGTTGATATCATGCTAGTGCCTTTTGGCATTAGATTCGAAATTTTGAATCACTATAGGGGTTTTACGGTTCCTCAGACCGAAGAGTTCGCTCGATTCAACAGATGGCTGGCAGCGTGTGAGGTGCGAGACAGTGTTAAAGCTACACTGTCAACAAAGGAGAAATACTTAGCCGTGTATAAACGTTACGAAAACAACAGCGCCCAGACGGAAGTAGCGGATGCCACCAGGAAGGGTACCGCCCTCCCGTGACTCACTTCCGGTCAGAACCACTCCCCTTTATGAACTAATTTCTACACGTGTATGTATCAGTTTTTAACCAGCCTCTTAAGCTTTAAGTTATTAATAATTATATCATGTACCTCGATCTACCAGTTCACGAATACCCGATTTAAGCAGAAACAATGTTTACTTGAGACATGGCATCAGAGTTTTGTGTACAATAAAACCCTTAATCCTCATCTGTGATCTGTCTGAGGTAATGTGAGTGAGTGAGTGAGTTGGGTTTAACGTCACTTTCAACAGTATTCAAGTCCTATCACAGCGTGTCAATGGGAGGAGAGCCGATGCAGAAAACAGACGTTTATCATATTAGTGAAACACACGAGCACGCGATTCGAGGCCACAATCATAGGTTTCTGGCGTGCCCAAGGGACGCAATTATGCACAGCGAAGTGCGGCGGCGTCTTACACGAAGGGCCACCCTTGCCTCCGTCAAGCTATGTGGGAGCACGGGCCATTAGTCAGTTCAACATGTGTTTGCATATTCTATAGTGTACTGACTTGTGACACTTTCTCAGGGTCAGTACACAGACACTCTATATTCGTACTCATTGTGAAGGGTAGGGTGTTATGGTTGAGTGGCCCAGAAAAGGGTTCATCGCATTAGGTGCTGATCCACTTGCGCTGGATGTCCGATCTTGATGTTGGAAGTCGACATACTGTCTTATGACATTGACGACACAGGATGGTCTTCAGGGAGACCAATAATGGAATTCCCCCGTATTCTGTGGATCAGTTTAGACTTGAAGACTTCTTCTTGTATATGGGCATGATCTCCGGATCTGCCATCATACATGTAGAGGACTGCAGAAATAAATAAAATCTTGGATGACTAAGAACATGCTAAAACTCAATCCTGACAATAATGAAACAATCCTGGTTGAAACACGAAGCAAGCGTGGCATCACATATCGATACATGTTGGACAATCTCAAATAAAGTTATCGGACACTGTAAACAATCTTGACGCCCTTTTTGACAAAGAACTCTCTATGGAATGGAGTTTACATGGCTGACAAGCTATTATAATACTGGACCCGTGAAGATCCGGGGTAGAATCGGTCTTCAACAATCCATGTTTGCCGTAAATGGCGACTATGCTTGTCGTAAGAAGCGACTATCGGGATCGGGTGGTCAGTCTCGCTGACTTGGTTGATGCATGTCATCGTATCCCAATTGCGTGGATCGATGGTCATGATGTCAATCACTCGATTGTCTGGTCATACTGCTGGAATACTGCTGAGTGCGGCGTTAAACAACAAACAAAATATTATAATATTATACATACATTTGTTTCAATAATAATTCAGCCTATGATACTACATACAGCAGTAAACTGTGCTTGTGTGTCATGAAAATATACACCCAAAAGCTTGCTTTAAATTTGTATTGACTTGGTACATGTTGTACATATGAACTCCCAGTACTAGGGTATGTAGTGAGGACACGGTTCCAGAGTTTTAGACATCATATTCTATCTCCGATTTTACATGTCAGACTTTACCTCTGTACAACTTTAATATGCTTTTTGATATCACACGAGTAATGGAATTTGAGAAAGTGTTATTTAACAAAGAGATTGTGCATTGATTTGTTGTGCACGTAAATTAAATTGTAGTTTGTTGTTTCCACGGGTTGCATTGCGACAGAAGGTGTTTGAGAAAGCTTGCATCTGATTGGCCTAAGAGCCAAGCCATCATTCATTTTGAGGCTCACCTGACCCGAACTCATGTGGCGGGTTGTCAGGTGACACGACACGTTTCTTTGGAATCTTTCAATTCAACACTACTGTACCTATACTTAGTAATCTGAATCACGACTTGTGGGGAGCCCGGTATAGTCTCTATGTTGTCATACAGTGCTATTCCAACAGCTATTAGGAGTCTGTTGCACGTATTGATTCACTGTCAGTGACTTCTCACATAGAAAAATATCCCCTATTGTGGAGTGATTGATCGCAAAGTGCTTCTTTCTGATACATGTTTATTTCCAGAAAATGTTAATTTGACGATACACCATTTGAACTTCATTGAAAGGAATAACTCAAGTGTCATATTGAGATGCAGCTTTAGACGTCATTTGTCCAGTGTTAAACATTGATACACTAGGGGTATGTACGTGACAGGGTAATGAGGGATATATACTTGATAGGACAGTAGGGTTTATACTTAACAAGGTCATTAGAACATATGTACTTACTGGACATTACTGGTATATGATTAGAGAACATTAGGGGTATGTAAGACACACAATCAAAGGCATGATGAATATTATACATCAGTTATATAACACAAGATTAGACCAAAGTGGTCTCCAGGCGAGCTTATTGAAACATTGACTTTTGATTGCCTGTGAGTTGTTCATGAGACATACATATTTACACTGGGTATCACCATAAACACCGAAGTAACGATCTATCCACTGGTTCATTACACATATTGCCACAAACCAGGAAGTAGCGACCTGTCCACTGTTGGCTAAACATATTGTCATAAACAACGAAGTAACGACCTGTCAACTGTTCCACTAAACATATTGTCATAAACAACGAAGTAACGACCTGTCAACTGTTCCACTAAACATATTGTCATAAACAACGAAGTAACGACCTGTCCACTGTTCCACTAAACATATTGTCATAAACAACGAAGTAACGAATTGTCCACTGTTCCACTAAACATATTGTCATAAACAACGAAGTAACGAATTGTCCACTGTCCCACTAAACATATTGTCATAAACAACGAAGTAGCGACCTGTCCACTGTTCCACTAAACATATTGTCATAAACAACGAAGTAGCGACCTGTCCACTGTTCCACTAAACATATTGTCATAAACAACGAAGTAGCGACCTGTCCGCTGTTCACCCAAACATATTGTCATAAACGACGAGATAACGACTTGTCCACTGGTCCAGTAAACGAAGTAGCGAACTGTCCGCTGTTCACCCAAACATATTGTCATAAACGACGAAGTAACGACTTGTCCACTGGTCCAGTAAAGGAAGTAACGACGAAGTAATGACGTAGTAACGAAGAAGTAATGACGAAGTAACAACGAAGTAACAACGAAGTAGCGACGAAGTAACAACGAAGTAATGACGTAGTAACGAAGAAGTAATGATGAAGTAACAACGAAGTAACGACAAAGTAATGACGTATTAACGAAGAAGTAATGACGAAGTAACGACGAATTAACGATGAAGTAACGACGAATTAACGTTGAAGTAACGACGAAGTAATGACGTAGTAACGACGAAGTTATGATGAAGTAACGAAGAAGTAATGACGCATTAACGACGAATTAACTACGAAGTAACGACGAAGTAACGACGAAGTAACAACGAAGTAATGACGTAGTAATGAAGAAGTAATGATGAAGTAACAACGAAGTAACGATGAAGTAACGACGAAGTAACAATGAAGTAACGACGAAGTAACGACTTGTCCACTGGACCACTAAACAACTCCGGCTAATCTCTCCTCGTCCTCGTGACGTTTGGCCTTCTTGATGGACGCCAGTGCTGTGAGACCTGAAGCCACAAGGGAGACCACACACCCCAGGACCGCCGGACAGATTGACCAACCCACCACGAATTCCTTGCTTCTCTCCACAAGCAGCTGATGCTTGCCCAGGAAGATGGTGAAGGCAAGGAGGACAAACAGACCTGAAAAGACATTTCACAATTTACTACTCAGCAGTGATAAACACGTCAGTACCGTCTTATGAACAATGATAATGTCTTTAGTTACACACTGTCAGACAGTGATAAACACATCAGTACCGTCTTATGAACAATGATAATGTCTTTAGTTACACACTGTCAGACAGTGATAAACACGTCAGTACCGTCTTATGAACAATGATAATGTCTTTAGTTACACACCGTCAGTCAGTGATAAACACGTCAGTACTGTCTTATGAACAATGATAATGTCGTTAGTTACACACTGTCAGTCAGTGATAAACACGTCAGTACCGTCTTATGAACAATGATAATGTCTTTAGTTACACACTGTCAGACAGTGATAAACACGTCAGTACCGTCTTATGAACAATGATAATGTCTTTAGTTACCAACCGTCAGACAGTGATAAACACGTCAGTACCGTCTTATGAACAGTGATAATGTCGTTACTTACACATCGTCAGACAGTGATAAACACGTCAGTACCGTCTTATGAACAATGATAATGTCTTTAGTTACACACCGTCAGACAGTGATAAACACGTCAGTACCGTCTTATGAACAATGATAATGTCTTTAGTTACACACCGTCAGTCAGTGATAAACACGTCAGTACCGTCTTATGAACAATGATAATGTCTTTAGTTACACACTGTCAGACAGTGATAAACACGTCAGTACCGTCTTATGAACAATGATAATGTCTTTAGTTACCAACCGTCAGACAGTGATAAACACGTCAGTACCGTCTTATGAACAGTGATAATGTCGTTACTTACACATCGTCAGACAGTGATAAACACGTCAGTACCGTCTTATGAACAATGATAATGTCGTTAGTTACACACCGTCAGACAGTGATAAACACGTCAGTACCGTCTTATGAACAATGATAATGTCTTTAGCTACACACCGTCAGACAGTGATAAACACGTCAGTATCGTCTTATGAACAATGATAATGTCTTTAGTTACACACCGTCAGACAGTGATAAACACGTCAGTACCGTCTTATGAACAATGATAATGTCTTTAGTTACCAACCGTCAGACAGTGATAAACACGTCAGTACCGTCTTATGAACAATGATAATGTCTTTAGTTACACACTGTCAGACAGTGATAAACACGTCAGTACCGTCTTATGAACAATGATAATGTCTTTAGTTACCAACCGTCAGACAGTGATAAACACGTCAGTACCGTCTTATGAACAATGATAATGTCTTTAGTTACACACCGTCAGTCAGTGATAAACACGTCAGTACCGTCTTATGAACAATGATAATGTCTTTAGTAACACACTGTCAGACAGTGATAAACACGTCAGTACCGTCTTATGAACAATGATAATGTCTTTAGTTACACACTGTCAGACAGTGATAAACACGTCAGTACCGTCTTATGAACAATGATAATGTCTTTAGTTACACACTGTCAGACAGTGATAAACACGTCAGTACCGTCTTATGAACAATGATAATGTCTTTAGTTACACACCGTCAGTCAGTGATAAACACGTCAGTACCGTCTTATGAACAATGATAATGTCTTTAGTTACCAACCGTCAGACAGTGATAAACACGTCAGTACCGTCTTATGAACAGTGATAATGTCGTTACTTACACATCGTCAGACAGTGATAAACACGTCAGTACCGTCTTATGAACAATGATAATGTCTTTAGTTACACACCGTCAGACAGTGATTAACACGTCAGTACCGTCTTATGAACAATGATAATGTCTTTAGCTACACACCGTCAGACAGTGATAAACACGTCAGTATCGTCTTATGAACAATGATAATGTCTTTAGTTACACACCGTCAGACAGTGATAAACACGTCAGTACCGTCTTATGAACAATGATAATGTCTTTAGTTACCAACCGTCAGACAGTGATAAACACGTCAGTACCGTCTTATGAACAATGATAATGTCTTTAGTTACACACTGTCAGACAGTGATAAACACGTCAGTACCGTCTTATGAACAATGATAATGTCTTTAGTTACCAACCGTCAGACAGTGATAAACACGTCAGTACCGTCTTATGAACAATGATAATGTCTTTAGTTACACACCGTCAGTCAGTGATAAACACGTCAGTACCGTCTTATGAACAATGATAATGTCTTTAGTAACACACTGTCAGTCAGTGATAAACACGTCAGTACCGTCTTATGAAGCGTGATAATGTCGTTACTTACACATCGTCAGACAGATCTTTAGTTACAACACGACAGATAGACACGAGTACGTCCTTAACGCGTGTAGGATTGATACGCGGGAGGGTGTGTCTATTGTACGTACCTGCTGTGCCTTGACATTAGATGGTGTAGGATTGATACACGTGAGGGTGTGTCTATTGTAGGTGCTCCTACTCCAGACAGTAGACGGTGCAGGATTGATACACTTAAGGGTGTGTCTATTGTAGGTGCCTCCTACTCCAGACAGTAGACGGTGCAGGATTGATACACTTAAGGATGTGTCTGTTGTAGGTGCCTCCTACCCCAGACAGTAGATGGTGACGGATTGATACACTTGAGGGTGTGTCTAAAGTACGTACCTGCTGTGCCTTGACAGAAGATGGTGTAGGATTGATAGACGTGAGGATGTGTCTATTGCACGTACCTGCAGCTCCAAAGAGTAGATGGTGTAGGATTGATACACGTGAGGGTGTGTGTATTGTACGTACCTGCACCTCCAGACAGCAGATGGTGCAGGATTGATACACTTGAGGGTTTGTCTATTCTACGTACCTGCTGTACCTTGACAGTAGATGGTGCAGGATTGAGACACTGGAGGATGTGTCTATTGTACGTACCTCCTACTCCAGACAGTAGATGGTGCAGGATTGATACACTTGAGGGTGCGTCTATTGTACGTACCTGCTGTGCCCAGACAGTGGATGGTGCAGGATTGATATACTTGAGGGTGCGTCTGTTGTACGTACCTCCTACTCCAGACAGTAGATGGTGACGGATTGATACACTCGAGGGTGTGTCTATTGTACGTACCTGCTGTACCCAGACAGTAGATGGTGCAGGATTGATACACTTGAGGGTGCGTCTATTGTACGTACCTCCTACTACAGACAGTAGATGGTGACGGATTGATACACTCGAGGGTGTGTCTATTGTACGTACCTGCTGTACCCAGACAGTAGATGGTGCAGGATTGATACACTCGAGGGTTTGTCTATTGTACGTACCTCCTACTACAGACAGTGGATGGTGCAGGATTGATACACTCGAGGGTGTGTCTATTGTACGTACCTCCTACCCCAGACAGTGGATGGTGACGGATTGATACACTCGAGGGTGTGTCTATTGTACGTACCTGCAGCTCCCAGACAGTAGATTGCGATTGATCTGACCACCACCTTCCGAATGGGAACATAGATTATGTGGAGGATTAAGGCGACCTGCGTCAGCACCACGGCAAATGTCATGAATATTTTGCTGATGAAAAGAAACTCTGCAACACATACAAGTAACAGTGTCAATATTAAAACGAATATAATTTCTGATCGAATCATATGCAACCGTTGTTAGCAGCATTAAAGCCAGAAACGGATGGCGTTACTACAGGACAGTAAAGTTAGGTCGTCCGATTCTACTTCCTGATCAGGTAGCCTCGTGGTTAAAGCGTTAGCTCGTCACGCTGAAGACCCGGGTTCGATTCCCGACATGGGTACAATGTGTGAAGCCAATTTATGGTGTCCCCTGCCGTGATATTGCTGGAATATTGCTAAACGACGAGTAAAACCATACTCACTCACTCACACTTCTTGATCAAGTAGATGCATACACGATTTAAGGCAACGACAACATTATCACCTTTCCCGCCCTCAATCTGGTACGTGACTGACAGTACGCAACTCCCATCCTCGTCACACTGGGACTTTGTCCACAGGCCGTAGTTGATGTACGTTCCTCGGTCACTCGTGACGCGCCACCAGTAGGGCAGAAACATGGCGAGGTCCACCAGCAGAGTGGCCACCACGGTCAGGACAAAGGCTGCTATGGCAATAGGGTTGATCCACATGTTTGGTCAGCTGTGGGCTTCCACTGTGTCGAGAAGGGAATGACCTTAGGGTTGGGATTACTGACCTTAGATATTTCAGGGTATTTTAATCATCCTACGTTTGCATTTTTTACACTAACACCACGGACTTGACACTCACGCAACGGACTTAACACTCATACCACGATCGTTACACACACACAACGGACGTTACACACACACAACGGACGTTACACACACACACAACGGACTTTACACACACACAAAGGACATTACACACACACAACGGACGTAACACATACAACGGACGTTACACACACACAACCATCGGACGTTACACACACAACGGACGTTACACACACACACAACGGACGTTACACACAGACACAACGGACGTTACACACACAACGGACGTTACACACACACACAGACAACGGACGTTACACACAGTAGTATAGGTAATGGGGGTTCTGGACCACTTCCACTGTAGCTGGATTTATATACCTATACTGCTACTACAGATGGAATTTTTTATGTCAAAATGAATTATGTGATTTAATGATAGTCATGAGATTAAGTTAAATTGGCTCCAGTTCACCACCACCTGGGGCCAATGATATAAATTTTTATAGGTAATGTGATTCAACGATGAGTCTAAATGTGATCAAACGATAGTAAGCAATCTATTTTTAATCTCCAACCAGTTCTTTGGTTTTGACACGGAATAACTGACGCGCTTGTTGCCTCCCCTGTTCTATGAACTTTTTTTTCTCATCTTCGCTAATACCACTGGTCTTACGAGATTTTGATCGAATCTCCTGCTTCATTGCGTTGTATTTGGTGAGTTCCGACAGCACTAAACGAAACTCATCCTCGGATATCTTACAATCGGCCATTGCTGTTGAAATATGATCCTCAATGCTGTTCAACTTTGCTTCGGCGAGTATCCGAATACTATCGTGTTTTAATGCTTTCTTTTGTAACCTACGAGAAATGAATCTTATCGCTATTCCTGCCAGTCCCGAGACTCCAGCGGTTATTTCCATGCCGAGCACGATAGGTATTAGGCGATTATAGTTGATAGTAAACCGATACCCGCTACACCGAGTCCCATACCAGATACTACAAGCGCGGTGTCAACTCCGTCCAGAGCATTCACGACTTTGCGATACTTTTTATACAATCCAAGTCTCAACTCCCTATCCTTCCCTATTCGATGTTTTATGTCTTTTATTTGATGTAATCGAAATCCATCAACAGTTTCCATCTTTTCAAATGCTTCACCGAGCGCTGGATATAAACTCATAGTGTATATTATGATCATATAATAGTCTTTAATTGGTCTTGCTTAAATGTTTTGATAGTATACATCAATCTTATCAAATGTATATTATACGGCAAGAATATCTTAGTAAGAGAAATACTACCACTTTTAATAATTTGGACCCCCTCGAGGGTTGCAATGGGTGATGCTCCGATATGAATAATACTGCAACGTTGACGTTGGTGTTTCTTAAGCCATTTAATTGATAGACCTGGTAATATATCGAAGGCATCTTCCGGTGCATCTCCGACCAAGACTTCAATAATAAGCGTAGAAAGATTAGGTATTGCACTCAGGTTAACTTTAATTTCTTCGAATTCAGTAACCAAATTTAAAGTAACATTTTTTAAGGACGGACGACTATATAACATATGACCTGGGTTTTCTGACAGGGGAGTGACCAACACACTTTTTCGTTTTGATGGGATATAAGCCGCGAGTACGATGCCACTATTTATTATCTTAGTTAAATTATGTTCCTTACCCATCATCACATAAGGTGGGGTAATGATGATATTCAGTAGCCACTCGATGTTTGCTTCGATCATAGTCCATTTATTATCGTCGTTGTGAGTAATATTGTACGAAGTGTTTTTAAGGAGTCTACTTACATCGACATCGCTTAAATCTTCTAGATTACCCGTGAATGTGACTTCTTTCCGCTTGTATACATTATCGTGTAAGTGTAAAGCGTATAACTTACCATTGGTACCGGGTTTACCAAATCCTTCCGTGTCTCCGAGATCGGAAAGCGCAATTGTATTACATTGTCTTACTATTCCAGGGCCTGATGCATCAACCATTATTTATAATATGGAGTGTTACGCTTAAGTATCCTATATGTACAGGTTGATGTTTTACATCTAATACAGAAATTTTGAAGTCTGAAATAATACCCCGCTTCAATTTTTTATATTGTAATGATGAGAAAGATTCCGTTCTACCGCTATTATATTTTTCATCTTTCACTGGAACACTTCTAAGCAGAGTTGAAGGACTTTCTAGTTGAATATTATTTGTTGTACTGATTTGATCAAGATGGATGCACAACTCTTTATAGGGAACTAAATCGGGTAATGTCTCTCCATCTTTTAATGTATTGGATATTTTTAATATTTGTGTAAATCCAAGTGTGTTTGTTAAGTTATTGTAAGGAAATACACTTTTTTTTTCTCCAGGGTATAATTTCAGTCTCCCATTCGCCTCATTTTGTGTGAGACTAGATCCATTAGGTTTAAAAAATTCATCATTGAGTGAGCATACGCTGTAATACCCATCAGGTATAGTAATGATTTTAGGAATATCATTTTCAACTATTAATAATTCATTATTTTCTTTCGCAGCATTTATATTGGTCCACCGTGGGTAATACGTTACATCGCATAGAGCTACTTCGAGTTGTCCATCCGAGTTATCGATAGTATGAAGCAGTTCAATAGACTGACCATTTGTTATTCCTGGGAGTGTAACATACATATTAAATATACAATGATACTATATCATAATTTAAATATGAAATCGAGATATATTACTAATCAATCGATTATAGTAACTGCCTCCGGTTCTGAATTTTTCGTTAAATTCCCAGATATCTTTGAAAAGTACAGGGTCACGGCAACTAGCGATAAAATGGTGCACGATTGGTTTCACAATCCGATGCAATTTTGGCAGAATCAGTTAAACTTTGCCATATGGTGTGCCACAACGGGATGTGGTGTATCTGTTAATGCTCCAGGATATATGCTAAATAAGTCTGTTTTATTATTTCATGTGTATTATCAGATTAGACGTATACTTAAAGAAATTAATGCTCCATTACCACAAGATCGAGCGTGGAATGTATCAAATAATCCGTATAATAGGGGGGTGTATGAACGTATTTGTAATGAATTTAATGTTTCTACGAGTAAAGATTGGCGTATTAAAGGAGCAAACCATGGTCTAGGTATTCCGTACGCTGGTGCACACTCTGTTAAAGAAGTCAGCGATGATTTATTGAAAAGGGGTCGGCTCCTTCCGAGCTTTGCTCTCTCAAGTAACGAGTGGAGAGATGATCGTATTAACTTTAAGGGTGGTGTTGCTTTCACCATCCAAAAGGTTGAGCAACCACCTGGAGACGCTTGGAATGAATTTCTTAATGATAAAACGGAAAATAATTTTACTAACCCAGGATTTGTAAGATTTAATGAATCGATAAGAACTTATGTATGGGCAATTCTCGGTGCACAATCGCAAACACGAACATCCATTATCGGTTCTGGGACGGCGCTCGATGCGCAAAAACAGTTTGTCGCAAACGTGGAGGACGCCATTAATTCACCAGTTGACATACCATCGTCTATAAAACGTTTTCAAGATGCATTACAGTACGCTCAATCCAAAGTGGACTTTGTTTATGCACCGGGACTATACATGTCTCCGAGTAATATGGAACTTAAGATCGGTCAAGTGATAGGCTATAATAATAAAATTGTTATCGCTACCGATCAACAAAAACCAGGTATTAATTCAGATATTAACGTCGAATTAATAACGCAAACGATCACGGGCGAAAAGGGAATAGTCAAGCCACAAACACCAACTATCGATCAACCATCTACTAATGCACACACACAAGTACCACCACATATTGAGGCTAAAAATCAACAACATATCGATGAAAAAACAGCGCTTGTAGTGGGTGGAGTCTCGGTTGGTTTACTCATGATTTGGTTAAATAGTTCTTAGCGAATACGTACAACAGCCCTGCGATTGCCACGATCAGCCCCCACAAGTTTTGACTAAGCCAAGTGGTGGTCTTAGCTAATAAATTCAATAGCCAGGAAACTATACTCCCTATTATACCAGGAAGTGCGGCCGCGGCTTTCTCAGCGAGCTTTCCCAGTGCTGAACCTAATGCTTTTAAATGTTTTTTTATCCACTCTTTTATACCGTTTTTATCGCTGGGTGGTGTACCTCCACCTGTTAACGAGAGAGTCAAAGTCGATATAATAAAACCCAACGCGGTTAAAATACTGGCAATTGTTATTCCCTGTTCTCTGAACAATGTTTTAATTTTATCGGCCAGTGTAGTGTCATCGTTGAGGACTTGATCGATAGTTTCTCGAATACGACTGATTTGCGAACGAAGTGCCTTTCTATTACTGGAAGCAGCTTCGAGGCGGGCCGATCTTTCGTCTTCTAAGTTACGCAATCTTTCCGCTACGCGGCGTCTACTGAACTCATCGCCCGCCTGTTCGAGTTTTGTTTTCTCTTGAGCTATATGCTTGTCGATTTCGGATATCTTGGCTATATTATTGATGAGTTCTCCCCGCATTGTTCGCATTGCCTTGTCAAGACCTCGTAATTCCCTAATACTGAACTCAGAGGATGGTACCTGTAACGTGGAATTATCGTAATAGGTATCTAAGATTTCTCCGAGTCCGTCCGAGGCCACCATCGAAGCAGCTTCCAAATCATCTGTATTAACGAGTTCAGTACGCACGGTTCGAAGAACCTTAGTAGTCTTCGCGGAAAGTCGTCGGTAGTCCACAAAACCTAATTTATCACGAACAGTGCTGATGCCGTGTTTAGCAGCTATCGTAGACAAGGCTAGGGGCTTACGAGTACGAGAATGCATAAGATCAATATCCAGAGCGCCACGCAGTCGCAATATTCCTTTACTATCTATCTCAAACTTTGAATAGTCACGACCTATTGGGGTATCTTCTTTTAAGGCAT